ATGAGAGAGAGCACATGAGAGGGGGGAGGGGCAGAGGGAGAAGCAGGCTCCCTGCCGAGCAGGGAGCCCCGATACGGGACTCGATCCTGGGACTCAAGGATCATGACCTGAGCCGAAGGCAGTCGCTTAACCAACTGAGCCACCCAGGCGCCCTCCCTTCTGGTCCTTCTTAATGAATAACATCCCAGAGAGAAATGATTGGGTCTAATTGCCATTGGTCAGTATGGTCACTCCTCTCTCCCACTCTCCTGCGTTGGGTAGGGGTCTCATGCCTGACAAGCCACCTCAGCTCCCCTGCCTGGCTGTCTTTGGCAGATTCCTGGCCCTATCAGTTCTCCCAGTATGGCCAGATCTCATGACAAAATGCAAGGCTTTTCAAAGAAGGGGCTTGTGGGCGTGTCAGGCAGCAAGAGGTTTTTGGACCATCCACCCTTGCTCAAAATGCAGGTTGTTCTCTGATTAGAGGCTTCTGTCCATGTTCAGCCTCACCTTGCTGTTTGTGAAATGATGGCTTCATGGACTCCCTCTTTGCCCTTGCCTTTCCAGACTGAAGAGCCCATGTTCTTTCCCCAACATTGTTCTAGTCTTTGCTAGTTCTATTATGAATTTATTCAGGTTTAGAAATCAGGATCACGCATGTGTTCTCCCAGTCTGGATGCATCAAGATTTTGAAGAAGAAAGGACAATCCTTTTCTTTCATTTCTAGTGTCTTCATGTTGAAGCCTCTCAAAGTAAGGTCTGATTTCTTTAACATGGCATAAAGGCCAATAATTGCCCAGCCCCAATAGATCTTTCTAGTGTCATCGACAGACACTTCCCTATAGACAAGCCCTATGGAGAACCACACTCAATTGTCAGGATGTGGTACTGTGTAAAGCTCTCATGCCATTGCTCATGCTGTTTTTCTCTGCTTGAAATGTCTTCTGCCACCCCATCCATTCAGTGTGGTATTATGATAGAGCGGTTGAAAGCATGAGCTCTGGGGTCAGATATTTATGGATTTAAATTCCAGCTCTGCTTGGCAAATTTCTTAATCCCTATGAACCTTAGTCTTTTCTCCTGTCAAGTGGAGATAATCATACTTACCTCCCAGCAGTTGATCATTACAATCAGAGAATGCACACAAAGTGGTTATTCCAATGCCTGGCATAGAGTAAATGATCAGTAAATGGAAGTCCAGCTTGGACACCTCTGTTCTTCCTCTTTCTTTTGCCCCTATTTCCCCTACCCACTTCTCCATGGCATTGGTCACCTTCTCATCTGACTATTGCAGCACTTTATACTTAAGTGATAGCACTGTATTCCAAGATGTCAGCCATTTTTCCCTCCGAGATTTCCCTTCCCAAAATGCCCAGCCTTCTACTCAAACCATGAGTCTTTTTGCACTAATATCTCAAGAAAAGGATGTGACAGCAGGAAACAGACTGCTTCTGGCTTATTGGTTTTTAAAATTCAGTTCCTTAGGGGGCGCCTGGGTGGCTCAGTTGGTTAAGCAACTGCCTTCGGCTCAGGTCATGATCCTGGAGTCCCTGGATCGAGTCCCGCATCGGGCTCCCT